GGCCAGCCTGGTCTCCAGAGCGAGTGCAGGATAGGCTCCAAAGCTACACAGAGAAACCCTGTCTTGAAAAACAACAACAACAAAAAAAAGTGCTTAGTGTTTGTCATTTTAGTTTTTGTGGGTTTGTTATCTGTTGTTTTTTGTTTGTTTGTTTTTGTTTTTTTTTTGTTTGTTTTTGAAACAGGGTTTCACATAGTCCTTGAATGTCCTTGAACTCTTGCTTTCCCTCTCCCTATCTCACAAGGGTTGGGATTATAGATGTGGACTATCACATCTGGCCAGAGACTGCTTTTGATTGTTTAGTTTACTTTAAATTAGCACCTACTGTACTGGAACAAAAAGAATATTTCTTTATTCGAGAACTGTCAGTCTGCACATAGATAGATAGACCAGTAATTTTAACTATAAGGATAGACTCTGCCATAGCAGAATTGCTTATTTTCAGTCCCTAATCTCTAAAACTCCAATGATTTTTATAGTTGTTTGGTTCTTTGTTTAATTTACCACCACCCAGGCTATTTCTGTAAACTTTGAGGACATCTGGAAGTAGTAGTGGTCTTGTTAACACAAATGAATGTCTGCTTGGGAATTTTAGAAGTCCAACAGTGAAATGCTTCAGTCCTCTGATGTATATATAACAGAATTCATAAAACATAATTTTTGCTGCATATGTTCCTGGTGATGTTATTGTTCAGTTCTGCAGTCTCTAGTCATTGATTTTCTTGTCTGTTGGGTCTTATAAAGCAACATGAGGTAGATGATAACTTGGAAAACATCTTTGTACAGTTTAATACAGGACTGTGTTGTTTGTGAGCTATGGAAATCTGACCTCTATGCGCTCTCTCTCTCTCTCTCTCTCTCTCTCTCTCTCTCTCTCTCTCTCTCTCTCGGTGTGTGTGTGTGTGTGTGTGTGTCCAAGAAATATTCTTGGCTAGAGTCTAGCCATGACCCTAATTAGCACTTCCATGTGTTCTGCTTCTCCTTCCTATGTGCAGTCTTTGTATTTATTACTTTTAATGGTAATCTGAAAACTCAGTGAGAATCAAATTGGATTCTACCTACCATATTAATGTTCAGAGACATGACTTTTATGAATTAGGGTCGGAAGTATATTTTATAAAGGCTATTTAAGAACTATGGGTCCAAACAGACTTCTTGTGATGATAATGGTTAGAGGTTGGCTGTTATCTTAGTACATGTCTGTAATCCTTGCACTTGGGAGACAAAATTAGGAGCATCTCTGAGTTTACATCAAATCCAAGATATAAACTGAGGCTCTGTGTCAAAGAAATAAAGGATGGAAGGAAGCAAAAAGGACTTAAAGAAGTCAAACCTAGACACCCCACCCCAAGAAATCTGCTGATTCTACTTTATACTTTGCACTAGGCCTTTTAGATGCACTGTTGGTCTAGAGAGTTGCCCAGATGGCTGTGAAAAGGGAAAACATTGACTAGTTTTACCTTGAAGTAGATATTGGAATGGTACTAAGTTCCTTCCCATTAGAATGTTGGATGAGATTCTTGTACATTTTTAAGTTACAAGCAGTTCATAATAGTTTCTTCTTCTCTCCTTTAATGCTTTCCTATTTGTTCTTATAGATTGCTGCCTGTCAATACTTCTCTTCATTATTATCTAGTTTTTTATTAAAATTTTTGCTGATGTAAAACCATGTTGTAGGGAGAATTAACTTGTGTTAATTCTGTAGGTAAAAATGTTTGTGCTAGGGCTGGAGAGATGGTTAAGGGGTTAAGATCACTGGCTGCTCTTCCAGAGGTCCTGAGTTCAATTCCCAGCAACCACATGGTGGCTCACCAACCATCTACAATGAGATCTGGTGCCGTCTTCCTGTATAAAGCTGTACATGCAGATAGAGCACTCTCATACATTAAATAAATAAATATAACTTTTAAAAAAATACTTCAGCTAAACTAGGTGTGGTGGTTGCACACTTATCCCAGCACTTAAGAGGCAGAGGCCGGTGGATCTCTGAGAGTCAGAGACCAGCCTGGTCTACATAATGTATTCCAGGACAGCCAGGGCAGCATAATGAGACACTTTCTATAATAATAATTGTTGTTGTTGTTGTTGTTATTACTATATTATTACAATATAAATATAATCATAAATAATATAACAACAGGATATCTCAGCTAAATTAAATAGCACACTTGAATGGGGGAGATCTTTATAGCAAAAAAGAGGGTCCAAAACTGTAAATAGCTGTCTTAGATTCACTTTACTTCTCGTTGTTCTGCAACAAAAATAACATCTAGGCTGGGCTTTAGCTACCCCTTCTACCAGCTATTCTCTTAGGTGTGGGAAGTAGTTCCAAATCTGCTTTGCTTCCAACCACAGTGGTAGCCCTCCAGTGACATCTTGTGGCTGCTCCAGCACAAAGTCCAAATGCCTCTTTTACCTCTTGGATAGATAGTATTTCTAAACCTGAATAGAAAACTGACAAGCTTGGCTCACAAAATGCATACAGGCAGTTCTTTTCATATTGTAATCAAAATGCAAGACAATTCTGTAGCCTCAAAGGATATCATTTATATTTGCTTAGTATGCACTGTCAAAAAAGAAAAGGGGGAAATGTATTGAAATGTGCTGTGTGACCAACTTCTGTACTGACTTAGCCAAGTCCCAGGTGAGCCAGGGATAATCACTGTCTAGCTCCTCACTTCCCTATTACCCCTTCAGACCAGCAGTCAGGGACAGGGTGGGAAGCCAGATATTTTTCCTCCAAATCATTTGTTTAGGTTGGATTCATGGTTGGTTTTTATGACTCTAAAATACAGAGATTATCTGTTGTCTAGGATTTGCCTGGTGGCACAGTGGCAGATCACTAGCATCTTCATGATAGGTCATCTAGAGTTACTCAATGCTTGTTAAGTGAGTTATTTCAGACTCAACATTAACCGCAACTTAGCAAGTTTTAATTCCACCTTGTCCATTCTGAAAATAATAAAAATTAATTGCTTTAATTATTTATACTTTCTGAAACAGTTCTTTTACCCCCAAACTAAGCCAGCAGATTGCATTTGCATTTAGATTCTGCATGATCCATGTCACCCCTGCTTGTAAGGAATGGTCTGTGTTGTAGTCTTTGGTGGCATTCACTCCTGTTAACACTCTCTTACCATTCAGGCAAGAGTAGGCCGACAAAGAAATGTGATTATTCTCCTACCCGATGAACCTTTTTTAACTGGTCCATATTGGCTCAGAATGTAGAGTTTTAAAACTGCCTTCCCCACAAACCAAGACGAGAGGATGTCATTCATGGGTGTCTTTTGTTCCCCTTTGTATCTTTTCTTGTTCCTTATATATGTTACATACCCCATCATACACTATTGCATTGATGGTAATCACTCCCTATAGTTGCTGACCTGAGTTTGTGAAGTTTGTATTATTTGGTGTCTCAGTTCCTTCACAGGGCTCACCTCACCTTATTCACATATGACATCAAGTGGGTAAATCCTTCCAAAAGTAACCAGTGGTGGGAGCACTTACTGGCTCCTATTCCTGCGAAAACTTTTGCAGCTCTTGAGGCAATCGTGTTACCATGCTTGCAAGTCTTAGTTAAATTTGTGTGTATTTAACTGGACTAATTGAAACATGTAGGTGTCTATTAGAACAGGATGTGTCTGCGTCATACCAGTGAGATAAAGGTTTTCTCGTTTATAGACTAGAAGAAATGGAAGAAAAGTACCTAATGAGAGAATCAAAGCCCGAAGATATACAGATGATCGCAGAATTAAAATCCTTGCTTTCAGAGAGAGACCGTGTCATAAAGAAACTAATTGTAAGATATTTTGTTTTTAGTATAACCATGTTAGTTATCAATAGACTATTGGTTGGGAAGACATGGGGAAGTATTTTTGAATAATGGAAAGTGAAAAATGTAAAATCTGTGCATTGTGATCAAGTTTATTAAAATATAATTTCAGATTTAAATTTGGCATTAAAATAAGGGAATTTTATGTTATTCTTCAGTGTTTCATTGAACGTTTTAATAGGTATGAAATATTTAATAATATGTTGTAGGGAGAGACCCCGATACCTGTACCTGTGACCACATTACCACTTAATAGTTAACATCCTATATATAGGGATGTATATTGTACCACAGAGTTAGAACTAAGAAAAATCTATGAAGGTAGCTATGCATTAGACTGCCCTGTCAACTTACAGATTAGTCTCTTTTTATGTTTGTTTTGTTTTGAGATGGAGTTATGCTATAGAGCCCTTTAACCTTTAACAGCAATCCTTCTGCCTCAATAGCTGAAGTTCTGGTATGGCAGGCAGGCATCACCTGTCATCATGTTTCATTCAAATGAATCATGTTAATTTTCTGAATTGTATTTACCAAACACTAATCTGTAGGGAGACAACCTAGCCCCGCCCAATAGTCCTGGGACAGGTACCAG